TGGAAGGATGGTTAGAGTCAATTGTTGTTTCTAATCCATTTGAGTTGGTGGCATTTGATCTTATGGGACTTTTTCCACTATTGCCTACTAGCAATGAGTATGTCATTATTGCTTATGACTACTTGACTTGCTAGGTGGAAGTCAGTGCTCTTGCCAGTGTGTCTACAATTCTATTGAATACTTCCTCCTTAATCGAGTGATGTTCCAGCATTCATGTCTAGAGTGGATTCTTTCAGATAATGGTCCCACATTTATGGTTGAAGCATTTCACATTTGGACTTCTCGATTGGGGATATGTCACACTTTCATGAGTGCTTATTATCCACAGTTAAACAGTTTAGTGGAATGGCTCGTTTGGACCTTCAAAGGGATTATTGTAAAGTATATGAACTTTTAGTATTTCGATTAGGATGGTTATTTGCCGTTTCTTTGGTATGCATCTGTCACAAGGGTGTAGAGTTTTGTTAGTGCTTCACTATATAAACTCCTATATGGTCATGATCCAATACTACCAATAGAGTTGGGTGTACCTTCACAATTGCTTGCAAGCTGCTGATGCTAAGTTATGGGATTAGTATTTGACGAACATTCTTCCACTTATTTGACTAAAGCTTGCCAAACACCTAGGCCACATATAAATGGGACAACAACAACACTACAACTCCCTATAAGACACAAATCCTTATGCCTCAAAATGGAGCCGAAAAGGTGCCACATGGCTGTGGTCAAAGTGGAAATCAAAATGAGCGTAACATGTTTGGATTAAATATTCCGACGTGAAAAGTCAAGTGGGAGTAGAACTCCTAAAGAAGTGCTTGAGGAATGAGTACAAAACAATTAGTGAACAAGTCTCTAGAAAAGGACACAAGAGGGACCAACACATGGCAAGTTTTATGACACACAGGGAAGTGTTGGGATGGAGTTTAAGATGGAGTCTGAGAAGGGATCAAAGATAGAGTCTAAGATGGAATCCAAGAAGGAGTCCAAGAAGGAGTCTGAGATGGGGACTGAGATTGAGATCGAGACTGAGATCGAGACCGAGATTGTGTCCGAGTCCGGGTCTAAATTCGAGTTTGAGTCCAAATCCAAATCCGAGTCCGAGTCCAAGTCTGTCGCGAATGTGACTTTGGGTATCAAAACTTACCTGTCGGCCAGTCCTTACAGACACTCTTTCGTTACTGCCATGACGGCAGGAGGTCGGTATTACTGGACCCTTTATTAATCCCTCTTGTGCTAGTGGAGTTAACTAGGCATTTCAAGTATACTTAGACCGGACGATCATAAGGACGAAATTCTTACATGCTATTAGCTAAGCATACTTAGCCTGATATGGAGTTCCTATCTCGTTGTGTCTTGCATTGGCTAGTGACAAGAACCCTCATGTATTGAGATTAGTCCCTTAATATTGTTACATGATAGTTTACTATGTCTGCCAAAACACCCTCACTATCATGCCCCTTGTGTTAGTATCATTCCGGTCCCAAATGCTATTTATAGAAAGTGTCCAGATTTGCTCATTTGGCATATCTATAGAATGTAGAGATTGTCTTGAACACAATGGTGTTCATCCCATGTCCAAATTCGCAATCTAAAAACATTCTATATTTAATAAGTTTCAAGCTTGATCCAAAGACTGACTCTTGATACTAAGGGAGGCTTAAGGTGAAAGCCCAAAGCGTGTGTTCTTCAAGGGGGGGGGGGCAAGGGGGTTCCAAATATATAGTAAGGATAGTGGGTAGGTTGGGTATGGCCAACCAACATGAGGTATAATTTAGCTCCCGCTTGTGTGCTTGTTCTTGTTTTGCATCTGGCTTAGGTCTAAACCTAAGTTCCATTCCATGTTAGCTACCTACACTTGGATTGGGAACATTAACCATTCAATCTCCTAGGGGAGATAAAGCCACCTTTTGAATAATTCACCAAATTACCCCATTTGTCCATTTATGTTCGCTCTAGCTTTGTAGTGGTTATATCATCACCCACTATATGGGTATAGCCTTTTTTGATCATATTAGCCTTTCTTAGCCAAATTAGTTCCATTATAGTTGTCCTTTTACTATCCTTTTAGAGTTCACCAGACACCCTAGAATCTAGGAAATGATTGCTTTAGGCTTTCACCCTCAAACTGAGACTCAAACTTAGACTTTGTAGTGCCACGTGGTTTTTACCCTTTATCCTATGGTGATTTACTATAGGATAACACCACGAAGTAGAACCTAAACCCTCCATATGCCATGTGTTAGATGCCATGTGTCACATGCCACGTGTTCATTGGACAGTGGACATTGGATAGGTTCAAGGCGTTGGGCCGTTGAATAAAGGAATGGTGCTAAACTCCCAAGCATGGAGCCAAGGAGTGACGGAACCGGATCACGGAGCAACTCCCTAACATACAGCCCAAGGAGCAAAGGGACAAAAGCACGAAATGACTTAGAACAGTCCTAAAGTATCCAGTGTCCTAATGCCATAATCAACATGCAAAAATGGAGCCAAACGGAGTTTAGCCCTATTTTGGCATACCAGTGGCCTAACACAAGGATGTGAGTACTCTAGTGTGGCTTATTGGAACAGCCACATGGCTAAGGCACTTAGAAGCAGAAGGTGGGGAGAGTACCCACAATGCTCGTGTTAGGCCGTGGTGTTTCGAAATGTTATCCCAAAATCCCGGACTGTGGAAAAAAAGAGGAGCAATTCTCTTGTGTAGTGATGAAGGATACAATTACATGGCAAGGAAGGCATAAAGGTCAATAAGACTTAGTGGTCAGGTCTTTGGGCCCTAACTCAGTGGTGGTGTTGGCAAGCATAGCCTTGGATGGAAAGGGAATTAATGAAGACTAAAAAAGGGATATTGGGAAAGAGTGTTTTTTATGTCTCCTGGCATCCTAAGGATGCTAAAGTGTGGTTATGGGATAACCACTTATGGACGGATGACCCAATCTTTGGGAGACGAGACTATAGTATAAGTGGTTTTAGGGTATGCACAAGACAAAGGTGAATAATTATAATTTTAGTGTAACGGGCTAATATATCAATGGTACCTTTGGGTGTTTATTGTGGGATCAAATATATGGAGCATTTAGACTAAGTGCAAAAGTTGAGTGGTATAGATGCCATTTACAGGGCTAATATATCCCTAAGTCAAAAAAACTTATAAAGGTTGTGTAGTGTATGTGATTATGGGATGAGATTTGAATATACTGTCACCATGGATCCTTGGAACTTTAGGGGATAAATGGGGATAAAATAGCCACTAAGGGCTCTCTCATCAAACAATTGCTCCTTTTCCAATTGGCTTAAAGGGAAAGAGATAGAGTGCGTTACAGTTGGTATCGGAGCAAATGGCACGGGTTCGATTCCCATTGATTAGTGGCTACTTAAAAATATAATACACCCTTGAGCAAGGTATATTCCTACCCCTAAATTTGAAATCGTACATATTAGACATCCATGCGTACGTCTTTCCTCTTGTGTGGAGTATTCATGGACGAAGGTATCCACCGTGGGACTACGGTACGGGTGGATGACTAGTTGCTTCACATGGAATAACTGGTCTACACAATGGAAGGATTGGTAGATTGAGTGTAGGTATCCACCGTGAGACTACGGTACGGGTGGATGACTAGTTGCCTCACATGGAATAATTGGTCTACACAATGGAAGGATTGGTAGATTGAGTGTAGGTATCCACCGTGGGACTACGGTACGGGTGGATGACTAGTTGCCTCACATGGAATAATTGGTCTACACAATGGAAGGATTGGTAGATTGAGTGTGAAAATGGAGGTGTTGGTTCCCCTTGGCTTAGTAGGGGTTGTTAGTCAATAGTCAATGAGGATATTGACATCTCTAAAGGGATCATGGGATAAAATTTGGATATACTGTTACTATGGATGGGCTCTCTTATCAAACAATTGCCCCTTTTCCAGTTGGTGCGCTACAAAACAATTGCCCCTTTTCCAGTTGGTGCGCTACAGGTTGTGAGTGAGACTTCTTTAAATGGTTAAATGGAAAATTTAGTTGTTTATAGTACTATTATCATCCATTTACCGAGTATAAAGTAAATGACTTAGTATTAGTCCATTTTCCCAATTTTATGGTACATAATTTGTCTAAAGGGCTTCTTGCTCAGTAGAAAAGATTGTATTAGGTGTTGTGGCAACTTAGACTGCAAATTTATGAAACTTAGCATGACATCTAGTAGGCAAATCCTCTAGAAATTATACATGTGCAACAACTAAAACACTTAGAATCATGAACACCTAACACCACTTATAGATCCATCAATACCTCCTCGTGATTTTCCTACAGATCTTAACCCATCCACAAAAGAACCTTAACAGTCTTCCATCATTCCAAGAGAAGGGGATGATATAAAGTCTAAGTTTACAGTTGTGATGTTGTATATTAATATTAGCATAATGGGATTTTGATAGCTGGTGGATTGGTTTTAATCTGAACAATTTGCTTTTGTATATAAACTAGGGTTTTTGGGCTAATTAATATGCACCTTTTTGTATTCTATTTCCATATTTCATATATTTATATAACTAAATTTTAGTATTATTTTAATGTTATATTTTAACTCAAAAGATAAAATAACTAGTTACCGTTATCAATTTATATATATATATATATATATATATATATATATATATATATATATATATATGAAAATGTATTACTGCTCCCTATAAAAATATATGAATAAGTTATTTCTGTATATATTTGATAATTGAGCTATCATGCTTGTTGAGGGTTTTCATGATATGGGTTGTTAAAGTTCTTTGATGTAATATTATTAGTGTAAATATGTAAAACAATATTATGAAACTTAAAATTATTTACACATAATATTGCAAAATATAATATACTTCGAATAAGCTAGGATTGAGATGGATAGTTATATTGTGTTTTATAGTTAAAAAATTTATTTTTGCAAATATTACATAACGAATGCATTTTAAGTAAGCTGTCAATTGTCCATGTACGTGTCAGAAATATTTAAACTTGCGTCTTAGGTACAGTGAGGGCGAGGCTACAATGGCGCCGACGCATCAGGAGCTCCGATCGATGCCCTGATCCGCGAGGTACTGTAGATGGAGCGATTGCTTGAAACGTCCTAGCAGGAATTTGGGAACAGGAAATAGGGTTTACCAGTCGCTATGCTGCGCCGCATTTGATCCTTCTTGCTCAAAAAGATAATGCCAGCAGGAGAAAGCAGCGTCGCCAAGCCTACCAAGCGCGTTCCCGAGTGGCTCAATAGTCCCGCTTGGTACACCAAGCCCAGCCATGGATTCACTCCTCCTCCGGTCGAGGATGTTGTGCAAGAGAAAGAAGCCGTCGCTACTACTCCTCCGGCAGCACAGGAGGAGATTGAAGAAGATGAGATAGTCGAAGAAAGCGCTACAAAGGACGAGCCTGGGTTTCAGGAAAATAACGATGTGAGTTCTTCGCGTTTCCAGGAGCGAGCATTTCGAAGGACGCTGTCTTTGGATGCTCGGGTGGGACTTTTCGTGGTGGAGGTAAGATTTTCTTTTGCTGTGCACGAATGTTTTCCTGACAATCCCGTGATCTTTTCTTTCCAGCTATCACGTACTAGAATTCATCTGGCAGAACTTCAACGTCTTGCTTCTCAAGGTATTCCCGACGTTGGAGGAATTCGTGCGACTTCGTGGAAGGTATGACACACACAAGTTGGATGTACATTCTTTTTCTTATGGATTTTGACTTGCAGCTTCTTCTTGGATATCTGCCTAGGAGCCGCGATGGATGGGATGAAGAGGTCTCCAAAAAGCGTGCACAGTATGAAGCTTTCAAGCACGAGTTTCTGATAAATCCGGTGAGTTCTGAAACGCTTTTTTTTTTTTTTTTTCTTTCCTGACGATGGGAATTGTTTGGACGCGTTTAGTCAGAGGTGACGAGAAGAACTGCGGGTGATCAAAGTGGTAGTTTGAGCAGCAATAAAGGATTTTTGCCGAGACACGATGTTTCTCATGGTGATCATCCACTTAGCGTTGGAAGTACTAGCGTTTGGAACCAGTTTTTTAAGGTTTGTTTACTTCCTTTGCAATTCCAATCCAAATGGAATTTCCACTTCGCAGGACACGGAACTTTTCGAGCAGATTGATCGTGATGTTAAGCGAACTCATCCTGATATGCAGTTTTTCTGTGGTGATAACGAGCGCGCGCACGAAAACCAGGTTTGAGTGATTTTTTGTCTGTGGAAGTTTAGTGATGAGTGCAAGCAGGAAGCGTTAAAACGAGCGTTATTCATATTTGCGAAACTAAATCCTGGGATAAGATATGTCCAAGGAATGAACGAAGTGATGGCTCCACTCTACTACGTTTTCAGGACGGATCCAGACGAATCAAATGCGGTAAGTCGTTTATTTCTGGAATTTTGTTGTTTTGTTCATACTTAAAAGCTGTTGATTTGTGGTAGTAAAGGTTCACGCGGAGCCAGATGCGTTTTTCTGCTTTGTAGACCTCCTTAGCGATTTCAGAGATCATTTCTGTCAGCAATTGGATAACAGTGCTGTGGGAATTCGATCAACCATTAGCCAGCTTACAAACCTCTTGAAGATGCACGACGAAGAGCTCTGGAGACATCTAGAGCAAGTTTCTAAGGTTCGAAAGCTGTCCTTCAAATGTTTCCTCTTTCTCTCTGTGTGTCTCAAGCTATTAGTGCGTGGTTTTCTCACAGGTGAATCCACAGTTCTACGCGTTCCGGTGGATAACTTTGTTACTCACTCAAGAGTTTGATTTTGCCGATACTCTCCGGCTTTGGGATTCTCTTCTCAGCAATCCCGACGGGCCACTGGTAAGTGGTGCTCTCGATTTTTTTTTTCTTCCTCGCTTTCACCTTGTTTTAACGCCTCGCTCGTAAATCCTTTCCAGGAAATCTTGCTGAGAGTTTGCTGTGCGATGCTACTGTCCGTGAGGAATCGACTCCTCGCGGGCGATTTCACTTCCAACTTGAAGCTCTTGCAACACTTTCCTCGCGTGGACATCCACTTGTTACTTAAAGCTGCCGAGGAGCTCAAGTCCTCCCAATAACTTCACTTCTATCCACCTATTCTTCTCGCTTGGATTATCTTCCATTCCATTCCCTTGGGTATAATTTGTAGATACAATCTTCGATTTCGTGAACTATAATATTTGTATCTCATCAATGTTTCGATTACTGCGGAAGAATGGGAAATTTTCTTGTAGCTCCCAAAAGACGTGGCTAGCAACATCTCTATCCGTACCGCACGGCAAGGCCACTACTACGTGCCGTACAGTGATTTCATACGGATTTAGGGCGCCTTTGCCAATCTTCGTGTTCTTGGCGGCAACAGAAAATGGCGGGCGATTCTTCGCTGGAGGTCGAAGAAATGCCTGTCGCTGCCACTGCCGCCGCCGCTCCTCCTCCTCCTCCTCCTCCTCCAAATCAAAATCCTCCATCCAGCGGCGCCGGTGGCAGCCCCTGCTTCGACATCTCTGAGTTCTTGGGGACGCCGGGCCGCAAGGATGGATCCTCCTCGGGCGGCGGCAGCAATGCCGGCGGCAACACCGACGAAGTCTTCTCCAATCTCTCAGGCTTGAATCTTTCCCCCTACATGCTGGCCCCGGCGATCCCGATCGCGTGTTGCAAGTCGGAGAGCGTGGATTCTCACCTCCACGACGCGGATTTCAGTGCCCTGCTGCTCTATCGGGCCCATAATCCGCACCATCGGGCCGGATCCGTGGCTGGATCGGGAGGAGGAGGAGGAGGATTATCGACGGCTGGAGCACAGGGCAATGGCGGCAATTGCCGGAGTCACAGCGGCAGCGGCGGTGGGGGCGGCGGCAGGGATTTTGGATTCGACGACATGGAGGCGCCATTCGGTCTCTTTGGATCTTGCTCGTCGATGGATCCATCCGACACCGCGGGAGCACTGGTAAATCATTCTATCGTTTCATCACCCTTCCCACCCGGAGAGGCTAGGTCGTGTTCTTCCTTCCCCATGTTTGGGCAGCATGGCTCTTTCTTGGCAGGCGATCACTGCTGTGGTGTTGGTGAGGACCTTCACGGGTCTTCCCTGGCCGCCGCCATGGGCGACGTTGTTGTGGGTGGTGGAGGACACCACAACTCTTTCGCGGGCAGCAATGCTTGCGACCACTGGGGTGTGCTGTGCGATGGAGGCGCAGCACATCACCACAGTGTCCACCACCACCACTCCACCACCTCTTCTAACACACCACCATCTTTGCAGCAGCACAGCACTTCTTTGCAGTGTGACTCCTGCCAAATTCTACGCTGCATCATCCATTCCAATGGTGCTTAGCTTCACACCTCTTTTGTCCATTGCTTCTCTGTCTGGTTTTACTTTTTGATCATCTTTCCTGTGCTTTGCAGTGCAGTGTTATTGCGTACTTGTTCTGTGTGTTCGTGTGTGTGTGTGTGTGTCATCAGGTGGCTGGCTGGCCTAGAGAGTTGAGGGTGGTCTCTTCAATTTTTTTCTCTCTGTGGTGGATGGAGTGAGTGCATATTTTGTGTGCTCAGCTCATATGGATCCATGTCCTTCCTCCGTTTTCTTTGTTGCCTCCCTCTTTCATACGAGACGCGCAGGTATTTAGCCGCGCAGAGCTCACAAAAGTGTTGCAGTGGCAGTAATTTTTTCTAACAAGGATTTTGGGCCCCAGGGGTTCAAGACACAAAGCTTGAGATTCATGGTTGTGATAATATAAGCTACCATGCAGTGTTGCACACGAGGTTTTGTATCGACGATGGATTCCCAACGGCTTTGGAGCAACAGATGGTCGAGTAAGCCTCGGTGAAACTGTCTAGTTGTCCTTCGCTTCTTTCTTTTCTAATTCTATTGCTTTCTCCATTTTTCCGAGCTTCTAAAGAATGGTGGCTTTTGATTGTTCCAGGTTTCCAGTGGGAAACGCCGAGTACGTGAGACAGTTTCTGCTTCAATATAGTCTTCTTCGTAGAAAGGAAGGGTTTGTTCTCCGGCACGACTCTTTGTCTGCTGGAGTTGATCAAGGATCAGGATTTAGTTTTGTCCCAGAACGTGGCTACAACGTATCTGGTGCATTTCTCTCCAAACAAATCGGTACGCTTTTCGCGAAACTTTACGTTTCCAGTAGTAGTTAATGAAGTGCTTTAAACCAGGAGCCGACTTCTCGAGCAACGGCGCGTATTCCAAGCCTGGACAGGCTAAACTACTCCAGAGCGGCTCTACTGATGGCACCGACCAGGGAGAACCATCAGCGGCGCCTGCCAAGCCACCAAAGAGCAACGCTGCAGCCCAGGTTCTTTCCCTTGTAGTTTAGTTTAACTTCTCACACTCAGCGGTGGACTTTCGCTGGCACCAGAGAGAGCGAACAGGGAAGCTCAAAATGTCCGACTTGGCACAACACTTCCACCTGCCTATCAATGCCGCGGCCAAAGAGCTGGGGATTTGCCCCACAGTCTTGAAAAAGATTTGCAGAAGGAATGGAATGAGGAGATGGCCACACCGCAAGGTGAGTGACGTGATTACTTCCTCGCGGTGGCAGCATTGGTTTTAAAGGTCTCTTGTTGCGCAGATAAAGAGCATAGAGCGTATAATCGCGACTTTGGAGCAAACGATTGCGGAAGGCGCGGGGCAAGGCGACGAAGGCATCCGGATGGAGATTGCGATGTTGAGAAACGAGAGAGCGCAGCTGTGTGCGGGGCTCTTGGGGCAGAATTGAAAAGAGGTGGAGAGCGGGGGGAGAATTGCTGAGCACCTCCTCCTTCGCGTCAAGTGTATATATACTTTGGCTGCTGCGGCGATCGATGCTTGTTTGTTACCATTCTTTGATTCATTCGTCATTGTACATTCGTGTTTTGTAAAAAGAAAGAGAGAATTTCTAGTGCTTTTAAAGCAAACCCAAATCACAGATTTTTATTTTTATTTTCATGGCAAAAAGAAGGGTTAAAAGGATGTCAAGGCACCTTTCTAATTTATGTATAAATATGGAGTTAATGCGCTAGGAAATTTCAAGCCCTAAAAAGCATGCAACAGGTACGGCTTTCTGTCCAACTTCTACAGATCTCCCATCGCGCTCGACGGCAAGGTGTGGCCGACAAGAGAGCACTACTTCCAGGCGATGAAGTCGTTTCCGGACGAGGTGAACATGGAGAAGGTGCGATGCGCAAGGTCGCTCACGGGGTGGCAGGACGCTGCCGCTGAGGAAGGATTGCGTGATGCGGACTGCCCTGCGTGCCAAGTTTGAGCAGCACGCCGATCTGCGGGCTCGCATGGTGGCTACAAAGGGCAAGGCGCTTGTGGAACACACCAAGAATGACAAGTACTGGGCTGACAGCGGGAAGAATATGCTGGGCAAGCTCCTCGTGGAGCTCCGGGACTCGGACATTGTTGTTTAGTTAAACTCCTCTGTAAAGCTGGGCCGTGCCTCGGCTCCTTCCAGAACAGAGCATTTGATCCCTGTACGACTACATCTCTGAGAAAATCGCAAACTGGAGCGGTCATGGACTCCAATCTGTATAGAGGAAACCCTTGAACATTGCAGTGTTGTGTTGATTCCACATGCGTTGGAATATACATGATACAATGATGTGGTTGATTTGATTTAATCTGCTTATCACGGTAATAGTCAACCTTTTGCCTTGAATATTTAAACGTTATGGACATGGCCATCAACGTTTGTGATTTGTGGCACCTATCTCAAATCAAGCGCGATGAAAAGGCAGCCCCTTCCATGCTTATGCGAAAGAACCGAATGAAGAAATTACATGATTGTTCGCCTTTGAAAACAAAAGGACGATAAGATTGTAGTTGCTGAGAATTAGAAGTCAAGGATTGCTCCTAGAGTGCCTCTGGAATTTTGGGAGACCTTTTAGCCTTTTTAGGAGGCTTTGGATGCTTTGGCCTCTTGATAGCCTTGCAGTGCTTGGGTTTCTTCTCATGTTTGTTTGCCTCTTCAAATCGATGACAGCTCCACTCCGGCGCATGCTTGTCTGCTTCAAAATCACTAGTGAGCATGGATTGGAATTCAAAAGTGAAAGAGCATACCGGCAGAGACTGGCTGCGTTGTCCAATGGTTCGCGCAATTTGTAAATGTGGAGGAGAGTAGAACCATCACCAACAACAAAACAGCATATCCCATGTCGAGAAGAAGCCCCGATTGAGAAACTTGAAAAGTTTCTAATATACAGTAGAGCCTACCATCATAAACCAGTCAGAAATCCAATAAACAAAAAACTTTCGATGCGTACCGATTGATTGGCCATAAGCACGGAATTGAGCTTCTCTGTTTGCTCTAGCAACCTGTCGTGGGCTTTCATTTGATGAGGTAGAGGTTGTCAATCTGGCTTTCGTAAATCCAGCCTGAGCCTGGAGCCATAGTTTATTCACAAAAAAGAATTATAAAAAAAACGAAAGTAAAAGAGAAAGCTTACCAGGCGTTCCTGCCACCTTCTGCGAAGTGATAATTGCATCTGGGTTTCATCGTTGACTGCTAGTGCGCCTGTCTCTTTGTCGCTTGCAAGTGACACTGTTACCGAATTCAGGTCCGAGTTTCCAAGAGCCGCAGAAAAAGTTTGATCCTCAACAGCCGAATTGATGGAGAAAAGAGGTAATGCTGCCGAAGTATACAATGTTTAGTAATCAACACAAAAGAAGCTTACCTTTGGCTTGAAAAGCGTTCTGTAAGACGTCAACAACGGCTAGCTTCCTCCGCTTATGCACTGGAGCAGCATTGTCTGCACTGATCCTGCAAGCTTTCTCCAAAGCCGCCATCGCTTGTATGGCCTTATTCCTTTCGAGGTTTGCACTCGTTTTGATGTCTGGTTTGAACAAGTCCAGCTGTGATATAGAGGACGAGAGGTTCTCAGTTTGCGCAGCCAGCACTAAAGGATGCCTTTCGCTTAGCAAATCCATACGAAGAGTCGGGCCATGTGCTCGCGAGCCTGTCATAAAGCTTAAAAAGCGAAGCAAGCCAGAGAAACAGATAGACGTACCATCTGCTCTGAGTCGAACCCAAACCGTGTCCATGAGTTTATATTCTCTGTCACACCGTCCATCTGTAACATCCTGAAAGTTCTAAAAAAGTCAGAAGAGGAACACATCGGATACAAATAATTTACAGTAATTTTTATGCTTGTCTTCTGTTTGATTAGGCGATATTGTTTCTCTGACGTCTCAGAATGCATTTCAGGTAATATAACTCGCCCATTTTTATCCTGTTGAAGAAATAAGCAGTAATTTGAGAGAGAAAAAAAACGACTTACCTCCAGAAGCACGAGACCACGGAGATCGTATTTGGGTACGAACACCATAATACCCTTCGTTGTGACACCGATGACCTGATAGTTCCAAAAGTTAAGCTTATGCATTCGGTTTTTGTTTCTGCGTACCACAGCAAGCTCTGCTTTGGCTTGTTTCTGGAGAAACATCAGTAAATAGAGCTCATTGCATTCCTTCTGAGCCCGCTTACTGGTTCTGTGCTTTTCATTCACGTGTTCCGCGACCTTCAACAAAAACTTAATTCAACCATCACAGAAATTCCAGTTTTTACCTCCTGAAGCTCAATAGAACTCATTATATGTGGAACTTTGACAATGCCAGACTCTAGGTTTTGCTCCTGGCACGCTGCTATAAGCATCCGGTGCGCAAGGATGTCAGCATAGCGCCGTATTGGTGACGTGAAGTGTGTATAAAACCTGAGGTTGTGTTAAACATGTCCAAGGTAGCTTGATACTTACTCTAGCGCTAATCCATAATGATAGAAATGAGAAGGCTCTAGATCCTCGCCAGTAGAGAAATATTCTGCCTACACGAGGAAACTATAACATAAAATGTGATCAATGTTTTCGTTACATTTTTTACCTCTGACATTGCACGCGTAACAAGAGCTCTGAAGGCACGCTATTTGTGTGTAAAACCCACAGTTAGATAAGTTCACCCCCTAAACTGCCAATGTACCTCAACAACAAAATCGCCACTATCGCGCATACGGTCCAAAGAAGCTGCAAGTTGCTGTAGCATGGGAGTAAGTGCTAGTAAAATATCGTGAATATTCTTGCCTTGTTGCTTGAAACGTCCAAAACAAATCCTCGCGCTTCACAGCACTGCAATGAACAAAGATCCGATATAGGAAGAAAAAAAAAAGCACTCTGGCTAACCTCTAGCAACGTTGTGAAGCTATCAATCTTTGGTGGAGAATGTTTCCGAAGAAGTGCGCAACTGGGAAATGCTCTGCATGAAGTACACTTTAAAAACAGATCTAGAATTTCACTAAGCTTACCGGTAGATCTTCTCACCAACACAAGCATTGGCATAAATCATCATCTCCGCAACTATCCAATTCATCTGATAATAAACTGATCAAATGACGATAATGGCGGAAAAACCAAAAACTCACAGGTAGCTCAACTTTCGTTTCCACTTGCACAGGCTCTCTTCTCTCATCAATTTCGAACTTTAGTTCCGTACTGGCTAATTCCAAAGCACCATTGAGCCGCCTAAATAAGCGTCTGCTCTGAAATGTAATGTCAACTAGGAAGTTGGAGGCAATTACCATGTTAGCTTACCTGAGCAAAAGTACCAAGCAGAAGGAGGTCACTTTGTAACTGGGACAGATCATTGGAGCCGCTCTTAATTTCCCAGCCGGGAAGTAAACGTTTTCCCTCCATAATAGTTTCAGCTTGAGCATAGAAGAGCTGAAAGCGAGGAACAGTGTCAACACATAAAGAATACCTGAAATTTCACACCTGGTATCGAGAACGTATTATCGTTCTTCCAAACCATGTTTTGACAACTTCAAAATTGTTTTGGCGGTCCAATGTCCATATTACACTTACAGCCAGCCTATCTTTTCCTCCAACTAACGAGCAGAGATTTTCACTGTAACAGATCAAACTTTCAGGGAGATAAGAAAAATTATCAAAGCTACCTTAAAACTGAAGGAAGCATATGCCAGCTTTTTCCAACCATATAGACAGTGGTTCCGCGAGATCTAGCCTCGAGGTCTAGAAGACTTCCTTGCTTCACAAAGTATGAAACGTCAGCTATATGGACTCCTATCTGGAATAAACGAAAGGATTATGCACGTATTCCAAGTAGTGACGGATGGATACCTCGACCATGCCATTCTCCAGATCACTCACTGACAGGACATCATCCACATCCTTGCTTCCAGGAGGATCAATGCTGAGAAGAAAAGAAGAAGTGACACAAGTCAGCCTGAATGCCTGGTACCTGCAGCTACGATGAGAAAACCGGATATCTCTCCGAACGGCAAATTCTTCTTCTGGTATACTCCACGGGTTATCCAACGAATCCTCAGGAAGTTCCTGCAGCGATCTGATGCTGCGATGAGTAGGAAATAAGAAAAGAGGAGACCTTACAAATTGCTAAATGGAGCTACCGAGATTCCATTTTCCACCAGTATAGCGTTCAGTTCGGCATTCAAATCGCCGATAGGACCCAGAGATCGCACAACATGGCCCCTTGGAAATCTCGAGTCAAGTTCCCAGTTATCTATACGCAATATAAATCTTTGATTGGATAGACGTAGTCCTTGGCGAGTGCTAACCTCGACCAGAGGAATGCGCTTGTCCATTGGTACGCACAATAAGCGTTCCTGCCTGCACTTTTGTAACATATACACACTTAGTTTCCATAAAAAAGGCTTACCTCGAAGCGGTTAGAAAAGCTTCATCTTCTTCCAAGAGACAAGCGACGTAGTCTCGTTGGTTCCTTTGTAATATGCCAACGACCTCTCCAGAAATAAGAGCATCATCAGATAAATGTCTGCTACCTTCCTCGTCGTCCAGCACATCTTCATTGAGTATGTCTTCGTTTTCATTTTCCGTGAGTCTTAGCTTGCAAGTTTTTACCTGTGGCATAAGAAGATTAAGACACACTAATGGAGGATAAACATACACTTACTACGACTGTATCCCCATGTATCGCCCTGTTTTGGAGTACTCGACCAGCAACAACAATTTCCAGCCGCGATGCCTCCCCTTTATTACTGCACATGATACTCCATGAGACTGGTCATCAAGTTAGTCTAGAGAATCTACCTAGGACGAACCAATGCTTCTGATGGTGCGTGACGATTAACAAAGAAGACACCCACCCTCAAGTCCCCTCTCGAGATTCCAGCCTCCAACGAAATTGCTGTTCAGCAAGAGACATACTTGTAAAGCCATCAGATAAAAGAACATGACTTACTTGATAGATGCTCTTTGTACAATCCCTTGCCTCCTCCGGACGGTGGCATTCTGCCATCACTAAGTTTGGCTTTCACTTCAACTGCTTCTATTATTGTGGCAGACTGTAATTGAAAAAAAACAGAGAAAGAAAATGATCGAGAACGGCCAAACAAAGAGAACTCACCAGCGATGTGAAGAGGTCAGCCACAGAAGAATCGTGATTCCAATACTTTGAAAAATATGTACCGGCTTCGAGAACCTGTAAATCAGAAAATTACTCGCCAGCTTTCGCGTAACTATCAGCTCACTTCAACAGTTGTGCGAGAGTCGGTTAAATTTCTACCGGAATCCGTGGACGTCAAACCAGTTAGCAGCACCACCGGAACACCTCCGTTGATGTGATTGGCAAACCATACTGTGACTTCTTTCAGATAATTCGAAGAAGCCGTTTCGCAGCGTGATAGACAAGTATATATGCAATGCTGATCGTCAAACACAATGTTGCATCGCCTGTGGTCAGTAAAGATCGATCTGAACAGATTATGTAGCTTTAAGAACATCCTCGAGAAACCAAAAACGATAAATTTACCGCAGCCTTCGCCAGCTTCGTTGGCCTAAGTTTTCTTGCACCTTCAATGCATGACACATAAATGGTCTCATGAACAAAGCCATTCCCGAAAAGGAAGCAGAAAAAACGCACCTCTTTCAGAACGGACGTAAGAAATATCACAGCAGAGAATTGCGGAAGCTCCAATATCTCCCAGAATTGGAGAACAGCATCAGCATTTGGAAGCTAGAGCAGAAATCCAAGGAATTAATCAAACAATGTAGAAAGAAGAAGGAGGAGGAGCTCGCTTCAGTATTACCAGGTAATGCGATGCGTCGGGAGGTAAACGAGGCAAATGCGAAGCACACGAGGAACATAGAGGACTGCCGCAGGGAATATCATCCCGCAAATAAATCTCCTCCGCCACGATCGAGATCGCTTTGGATCGCCTCTTGAACTTGCAGCGGCGATCCGCCTGAGCAGCGCCAAGGCATTTAGGATGAGGATCGATCGATCAGCGGCAGTGGACTCACCTTGCGCGCTACCCACACCGCCATGGCGACTCATAAACCCTAGAGAAATTTAAATTTTATTTATCATTGTTGGAAGGGAGAGTTATCAAAATCGCTGGCCGAGAAAGGCTTGGCACTGGGCTTTAGAAACTCGGGTCCATTGTCATGGATGTTCTTGCAAAGCGAGTTATACTCGTGGAGCGTGGTTTCCAGGATTTGCTTCATATCTTTGACATCGCTACGAAGCTTTCCAACTGATGAAAATGAAAATAAAGAGACCAAAGATTGAAAGGAGGTAAGCAAACCTTGATCGAGATGCGAAGCAGTAGTTCTCATCACCGAGGCCGAATGTCCCAAGCGCTGGAACAATTTGAGAGCTAATTCCTCCACTGCCTCGATCCTGTATCCCAGATCTTCCTGTTGATCGCATCCATCACGAAAACTTAGCAGCCTTCTTTCCTTCACGAGAATTGAAAGGCTCGGACCTGGCGCTTGCAAAGCTTTGTGGCATTTTCCTTTTGCCACTCGTGGTACAACGAAAAGAGCTCGGCAGTCGCGGTGGCGTCCAGAGACACTACAAGAAACGTAAACAGTAACTTAAACCAGGATAGAGGATAGACCAAGTCTCTATGGTGTTTGCTCACGATTCTCAACCGAGGTTTGGCTGGGACTAGACTGGCCGAGGAGAATCTCCTTGAGTCCGCTCTCTGGCGAGGAATGGCCCGGGAGCAACGCTCCAGCCTGACTTCATCGGAAGCAAATTCCAATTTGAAATGGACAAAGCTTACAACTTTGAGCGAGTGAAGCGCCTTCAAATTTGGATCCACGCCACCGCCCTTGCTCTCGGAGATTGTTGTGATCTCATCCTGGGCGGTAGAAAATAGAAAAGAAAACTCAAAGCGACAAACCGAAGCACCTTAAGCGACCTGGACTCCGTCGCCCCCATTGCAAACCCTAGAGAATTTTCGCATTCAAAAACACAAACAAGTTGTTGGATTCATTATATTGGCTTTGATTATACTACTTGCTAATTGTTTGAAGGCCAAATTCCTGACTTTCAACACGTTTGCAGGCTTCAACCAGATATAAAAATCAACCAAAAAAAAAAAAAGAGCAAGTGGACAGCCTTCACTTTGCTTTGTCCTAGTATATAACTGAGAGGATGCATTGGTGGTATCAACAGAACATTTTTCCCCTTTCCTTTTCGAGCTTCGCCAATGTCTTTGATTACACTCATTTCCATCATAGTTTTGATAGTTACTTGGTTCATTAAATGGAAAAGTGTTCGAAAAGATCTTCCACCGGGGCCATGGGGGCTCCCCTTGATCGGCCACCTCCATCACTTGATCCATCTTCCTCATCAATCTCTCCACCATTTGTCTCGCAAATACGGTCCCGTGATGAGCATCAAGCTGGGAAACAAGACCGCCATCGTCGTCTCCTCCAAGCAAGCCGCCAAGGAAGTCCTCACCTCGTTCGATAAGGTGTTCGCTTCAAGGCCGTGCTTGATCTCTCCCGAGTCCTTGTGCTATGGATCGCGCGACATCGCGTGCTGCGAGTATGGCCCCTACTGGAGGCAAATGAAGAAGCTTTGCATGACACACCTCTTCACTGCCAAGCGGCTGGAGGATTTCCGGAGCATCCGGCTGGAAGAGACGCTCGAACTCTTGCGTGACATCGCCGCGAATCAAGAAAGGCCTGTGGACATGAAGTCAAAGCTCTCCATGCTCACGTTTAACGTCATCACGCGCATGACGTTTACCAAGAGGTTCTACGATCGGTGGTCCGCGGCGAGCGATCCCAGGTTCGTGGAGGTGATCCTCGAGGCTGTGAGCTTGATGGGGGCCGTGAACATCGGCGACTACATCCCCTGGCTGTCATGGCTAGACCTCGGGGGCTATCACAAGCGGCTCGAGAAAACGAGCAAGGAGATTGACGAAGTTCTACAAAGGTTGATTGATCAACATCGCGAGGCAGCGCTGCCACTCCGCGACGATCCTGGCGATTTGATCCACACTTTCTTGTCGCTGGGAGTGGACGACAAGTCCATGAAAGGCGTGATCCTTGTAAGTTGCTAAGAACTCTCCATAGTGTACTAACGTTTTTGCTTTCACAGGATATCCTAGCGGGAGGAACGGACACCACGGCAGTGACTACGGAGTGGGCGCTCTCGGAGCTTATAAGAAATCCGGGAACTCTTCAAGAGCTGCGACAAGAGATCCAAAACATTGTGGGCGATGAGCGACTGGTGGAAGAATCCGACCTTCAAAAGCTCCACTATCTTAGGGCAGTCATCAAGGAGACATTTCGCTTGCATCCCGCGGCTCCTTTGATGGCACCCCACGAATCAATCGACGACTGCGAGCTTCAGGGATACAAGATCCCCAGGAAGACCTGGCTCATGGTGAATCTCTGGTCTCTCGGGCGGGATCCACGCTCGTGGGAATCTCCAGAGGCTTTCAAGCCGGAGAGGTTTCTTGGAAGTTCGATCGATGTCAAAGGCAATGACTTCGAGCTGATTCCTTTCGGATCCGGGAGGCGAATTTGCGCGGGAATGTCACTGGCCTTGATCATGGTCGGGCTCACTCTTGCTCGCCTCGTCCAAGCTTTTGATTGGAGCCTTCCAGGGAATGAAGAGATGAACATGGAAGAAAGCCAAGGCGTGATCATGCGCAGGAAGAAACCTCTAGTAGTAAGTGCAAAATGGAGGCTTAATATGCAATCTGAAAAATGACAATAATAATTTGTTGCATTTAAAAGTATAATATAGCACCCTTTAACAAATTAGTCACATCAGTCACATGGCTGTTTAAATCCACTTGAGAGGCTGGAGCTCTTACTTAGGCCAAGACAAACATCTCAACAGGAACAATATCAATTAGTGTTGCTGCTCTAGAATTGAAGCATTTTGGCTCCAAAGTTAGGAGCTTGTATAAACTTTAGGGGTTTTGCATCCACTATTAAATTAGTAAATTTAATAGTAATTCACCACACTATTAGGTTTTGTAACCAAGATTAAAATATCAGTAAATAGCTTTTCACTTGGGTTTGTCTGGATGTGTGCAGGCATACAGTGTTGTTGGCTACAAGCAACAGTAATGCCCATGAAGCAACAAGGCATGGTGCTAGCAAGTGTACCATGGTACAAGGTAAGAGATCAATTGCTAAGTATTTCTAGGCATTTTTAGAGAGTAAAGCAATTTTACTTCTAACCACGTGCTATGGATGACTAAAGTAGGTATTCATGGTGTTGGTGTTGGAAGTTTTGGCCCAAATGTTAATGGAACTCTTGGCCTAAATTCTCATGCTTGGCCCAAGTGTTGATAAAACTCTTGGCCTAGATTCTCATAGTATTGTTGTTAAAAGTAACCAAGTGCTAGTGGAACTTTTGGCATAGGTTCTCATAGTGTTGGTGTTAGAGGTCTTGAATTAAGTGATGGTGGAACTCTTGTCACAAATTCTTATAGTATTGCCACTAAGGGTCTTGGATTATTCCTAGAGCTGGCACAAGTTCTCATTGCTATTAAGTCTTGCTAGTGGAGTTATCATGAGTTTTAGTGGTCCAAGTGTTTGTGATTGACAATTCAATTAAACTCACAATGAAGTGATAGTGTTTATCCAAGAGAAGAGGATTGAGCTTGAGCAATATAAAGGCACATTAAATAAAGAGTATATAATCTATTCAAAAGAGAAGTCGGTGAGAATTTTAATAGAGTGAGAATTACTTTACCTTGATGACTAAGAGATGGAATGCTACAAAACTTGGGATTATTGAGAAAAAAAGCTTTTGAAGAGATTAATGAATTCCTCTTTGCAAAACCAAATATTCACTTTAGTAAAGCTTCATAATAGTGTAAGGAACCAACTCCCTGAGGTGTCATAGGCTAAAGAATCCCTAAAAACACGACCGAAATGATAAAGAGTTCATCAGATGGAACCGAGTCTAAAATCGAGTCCAAGATCGACTCTGAGACCAAGTTTGAGATAGAGTCCAGGATCGAGTCCGAAGCCGACTCCGAGACCGAGTTCGAGACTGAGTTCGAGACTAAGTCCGAGATCCAAGATTGGGTCCAAGACCAAGTCCGAGGTCAAGTCCGAGATCAGGTCCAAGGTTGAGTCAAAGATCGAGTCCGAGATCGAGTCCAAAGTCGGGTTCGAGATCAAGTCCAAGACCAAGTCCGAGACCAAGTCCGAGTACTAATACATATTGAGGGGTTAAAGCCCAAAGTGTGTGTCTCCCGAGGGAGGGGGGGGGGGAGGGAGGGGATGCAGGGGGTTCCAAAAGTATAGTAGGGATAGTGAGGTCTAGGAACCAGTCTTGAAGGAACTTTTCAGTGGTGCTTCCAAATTGACTTAAGGTTGAGATTGGGGTCGAAGGGCCTTGGGTGGGAGTGAGCATAGACTCAGGTGGTGCCAGAGGGGCCACCCAAGGAAGTGCTCAAGAGCAACTCCCACTCCCAGAATGGAAACTAACTGCAGTGCTCCCGACTTATGTGGAATGATGCCTCATTTGAGTACCTTGCGAAGATGTTGAGAAGACAACCTATCGAACAAGGTATGGGAGCTTTGAGTTTCTAGTGATGCCCTTCGGGCTATGCAATGCACTGGCAACGTTTTTGGCGTTAATGAACCACATTTTTGTACCCTATCTAGATCACTTTGTGGTCGTCTATATTGACAATATCCTGATTTATAGCAAAATGCTAGAGAAGCATGCCGAACACTTGATGAAGGTGTTTGAGAAATTAAGGGAACACCAGCTGTATGCTAAAAAGAGCAAATGTGACTTTGCTCAATAAGAGGTAAAATTTCTTGGGCATGTGGTGGGCAAGGACGGGCTTAAGGTGGACCCTGAGAAGGTCCAAGTGATCCAAGATTGGGATCCTATCAAACAAGGTATGGAAGCTTTGAGTTTCTGGTGATGCCCTTTGGGCTATGCAATGCGCCGGCAACATTTTCGGCATTGATAAACTATATCTTTGTACCCTATCTGAATCACTTCGTGGTTATCTATATTGACGACATCCTGATTTATAGTGAGATGTTAAAGGAGCATGTCGAACACTTGACGAAGGTGTTTGAGAAACTAAAGGAACACCAATTGTATGCTAAAGAGAGCAAATATAACTTTGCTCAACAATAGGTAAAGTTTCTTGAGCATGTGGTGGGCAAGGATGGGCTCAAGGTGGACCTTGAGAAGGTCCAAGCGATCTAGGAATGGGAATGACTATCGAATGTATATGAGTTAAGGGCATTCTTAGGGCTTTGCAACTACTACCAAAAGTTTATCAAACACTATTTGAGAGTAACTTTACTTTTAACTGACCAAATGGGAAAAGGGAAGATGGTATGGATAAGAGAATGTGAGGTGGCATTTGTCCACCTCAAGGGGAAGTTGAGGAAGGCTCTTGTGTTGTTGTTACCAGATTTTGGTAAGGACTTCGAGGTAGAAACAGATGCTTTAAACTTTGTGTTGGGCACAGTGTTAAAGCAAGACAACCATCCAGTAGCGTTCTTCTCGAAGAAGTTAGCAGAAGTGGGCTGCCCATAAGAAGGAATTGTTTGCGGTGGTCAAGGTGCTCGAGTGGAGACACTACCTTGGGAGACACTTCAAGGTTTACATGCAAGCTTAAAGTTGGCAATATCCAGCGCGACAACAACCTTTTGGGATGATGTGCAGATAGCATATGAGAACGATGGTCTAACACAAGAAGTGTTGCTAAGGAATCTAGAGGCACAAGAAGCTCACTAGAGAGGTGAGCTGCCAACAGAAGAGAAAACAGGCTATACAGAATGCAATGAACTCATCTATTATAAATAAACAAAGGTGTATGTTCCAGAAGGGGAACTAAGGAAGGTAGCCTTAGAAGAGTGTCATGACGGACCTCTTGTGGAACACGGCAGAGTGCCCAAGATGATGGGCTTACTCAAGAGGAAGTATTATTGGCC